CAAAAAAAAAATTAATAATGTACTTTTCATGTTACTGAGGATAGATTCAAATAAGAATGATGTGAAGTGAAATACATAGCCAATGAAAACATAATTCAAAAGAAACTTACTTAAAAACTGGATTGAATTACTTTAATCCTGGATTTATGGAATCATGTGGGGCCTGAAGGGACTTCCTAGATGGTGCTAGTGGTAAAGAATCCACCAGCCAATGCAGGAGATCCAAGAGATACAGGCTTGATTCCTGAGTCGGGAGGATCCCCTGGAGGAGAAAACGGCAACCCACTCCAGTATTCTCATCTAAGAATCCCATGGACAGAGGAACGTGGCAAGTTACAGTATATAGTGTTGAAGTTACAGTATACAGTATAAGAGTTGTGTATGACTGAAGTGACTTAGCATGCACATGGGGCTTAAAAGGGTAACAGATTTTTTATTTGTACTTTAGTGCATTTTACTAGAAAAAGCTTCACAGGGGCAATAATTTTGGTCTGTTTTGCTTCATTGGTGCTCCCCAAGTGCCTAGAAAACCACTTAGAATTCAACAAATATTTGAAGTATACCAGGACTCTTGCTTATTAAGTGTCCATGGTGCTTCAAAGAAGGAGAGGATAGGGTTTCCTCTGAGTGGGCAGCAATGTTCTAACATTGCAAATAAACCAAAAATGATACTGATAAAGGGAGGGGCCCATGGGGCCTATGATTATCTCATCAAGGTTTTGGGTAGAGCTCTCTTTTTTGGTAAATGTTATCTATATATGGCAGATGGACTTGAATCTTAGTCTACAATCTCAGGTGTTCTACAAACTTATTTACTTTTTATTCAAAGCCCTTCCTTGCAGATTTAGGGGGTATTTGCCCTCAGTCATTACTGGGGACACACACAAACTGTACCAACATCCCCAGACCTTCCAAGGGTCAGACTGGCCACTACGGAGAAGTCCATTATTCCAAGGATTGGTCCCTCCCAGCCCATTGATTTTGTTGCTCTGAAACCATGGTTGAGGCATGAGAGCCATTGTACTAAGGGCCCCAGTATTTCTGGACACCCACACAGCCATCCTTCCCAAGGTCCTGATAACCTCAAGAAATTCATGCGCTTCTGCTTAGTCACTCAGTTGTGTCCGACTCTTTGTGACCCTCTGGACTATATTCCGCCAGGCTCCTCCATCCGTGGGAATTTTCAGGCAAGAATACTGGAGCGGGTTGCCATTTCCTCCTCCAGGGGATCTTCCCGACCCCGGGATCAAACCTGGTCTTCTGCACTGCAGGTGGTTTCTTTCACCGAGCCATTGGTGAAATCCTTCCAGGAAATGCACAGACCCAGCTAATCACAGGCCTGCCACCCTTTTCTCTCTCCAGTCTCCGGGATGCCCTTGAGCACTTCTCGCCCACAAAGTCAGTCCTCTGGCCTGTCCTCCCTTCTGGACTTCTGCATCCCCTCTTCAAGGAGATCAGCTACCTCTGCTTTCTGGTCTGCAAAAACACCCGAGGCAAAGAAACACACACACACACACACACACACACACACACGTAGCCTAGCTACAGGCATGCAACTCCAAGTGGGAGAGAGAGAACATCAGAACGACAAATTATCTCAAGTAATTCTTCTGCCTATGCAGTACTGTGTGGCCATTTCAATCACTCCTCATTTGCAAGACAATTAAGAAAATACCTCTATGAGAAGCCTAAGGACTGGAAGCCAAATGCCCGTCTTTGGCAACATTTACTCACACTCTGAGACAGTAAATAGAAAGCAAGAAACCTTGCTCTGAGCTCACTTTGGCTGAAAGGCAGGGAAGCTCTGTTCTTGCCAACACACGTTTGAATCCTACGTGTACTCCCCTGGCTTCTGGGCAAATCTTTCTAGTATGTGAACCCTTCAACCTTCTGTCACTCTAAGGCTCTCTTCCACTCACACCTCAAGCCCCTGGGAAGCTTCTCAGAAACTTCAAAAATCACTTACTCAGACGCTGCTCTGGTGGGTGGAATATAAATGCTCAAGAGTCCTGACATCTTCTATGGAGCTCTTTAAAGAAAACTTCAAAGAAACAGCTCTCCAGCTTTGAAAATTTCCCACATAAGTAATAAATGAAAATAATTGTCCCTTTCTATACACCTCTGATCTCATCCAGAGGGATGGGTTTATTAAATGGGCCTAAGAGATTGTCGGGGAATATAGCCATGGGCCTCAGCAAGATCCTATGAGGTCACCCGGATCATCTAATCTCTTTTGAAAGGCTCACATGACAATATGTGGACACCATCACTTGGAAATCAAGTTTGATTTTTGGGTAGGGGTAGGTAGATTATCACTGTCCTTTTACAATCACCAAATCAGGTTTTATCATGAAGAGAGAAAAATTTTTTTATAAAATTAAAATCTGAAACACTGCTGTATTTCTGGTATAACATCTTTTCTCTTTTATAGACCATCTTTCTCACATGTTGTGTGTAGAATACCAGATAATGCCAAAGTTAAAAGGAAAAGCATAGAAGTTAGCTAGTAAACCCACCCTTCCATTTAGAGCTTCCCAGGTGGCACAGTGGTAAAGAATCTGCCTGCCAATGCAGAAGACACAGGAGATGCTGGTTCAATCCCTAGTTTGGGATGATCCCCAGGGGGAGGAAATGGCGACCTGCTCCAGCACTCGTTGGGAAAACCGCATGGACAGAGGAGCCTGGCAGGCTATAGTCCATGGTGTCATAAAGAGTCGGACACAGCTTAGGAACTGAACATACACACTCTTCCATTTAAAAGATAAGGAAACGCCATGGAAGACTTTTAATTTTGTCCTATACCCACACATTAAAAAAAAAAAAAAATGGAGCAAATGCTCTGAGTCTGCCCTTCAGCTTCATTATCAGTAAAATGGAATAAAAGTACCTACCTAGATGATCAGGCCACTCAAGATAGTTCTTCTCTTGCTCTCAGCACTATCCTCTGCTTGATCCATCCCTGCTTTACCTACACCCTGCTACTGCTGCTGCTAAGTCACTTCAGTCGCGTCCGACTCTGTGCGACCCCATAGACGGCAGCCCACCAGGCTCCGCCGTCCCTGGGATTCTCCAGGCAAGAACACTGGAGTGGGTTGCCATTTCCTTCTCCAATGCATGGAAGTGAAAAGTGAAAGTGAAGTTGCTCAGTCATGTCTGACTCTTAGCGACGCCATGGACCGCAGCCCACCAGGCTCCTCCGTCCATGGGATTTTCCAGGCGAGAGTACTGGAGTGCGGTGCCATTGCATTCTCCGTACCTACACCCTACTCAAGGGAATATGCTTGCCCCCTGCCCCTTAGGCCAGAATGGCTCCACCTGCTAGTTTATTAAAGGGAAACATACACCCTCATGACAGTTGTTAACCTGCGGGGTGGGGGCTATGAGGGAACGTGTCTCAGCTTCTTGTTTCCCTGGTAACTAATGAGCCAACCTGACATCAATCCCCTTAGAAATGGTAGCCTCCTTCTCCCCCAGGTAGCGAAGACCACTGCCATAGCCTGCCTGCCATCTACTGAGGGGTATTGCTCTAGGACCTTTTTGCTTCAAGTGTGTTAAGATTTCGTGTCCAATAAACTGTTGATGTCTCTCTGTCACTGTCTCTGGGCTCTTTCTTCCATCTTGAAGCTGGTCATCCACAAGGCTTGTAGGGTGCTGCCTAACACTACCTGATAGAACTTTTGAGAGCATTTGAATGAAATTATACCTGGAAAAAACATAGTCCAGTTATTGGCACACAGTACGTGCTAAATAAATGTTAGCTATTAAGGAGATAACCATAGCTCTGACCCAGTACAGTGACTCTCTATCACAGGTGCACGTCATACCTGAGGTGTCTCTTTTCCAAAAATATTCCAAGCTGAGGCCCAGCTGCAGACATTCTATGGTAATTGGTCTGGGATGGGACCCAGTTTAGGTACAAGCGAAGATGATTAAGAAGGTGATTCTGATGTGCAGCCAAGGTTAAAACCCATTGGCTTAGGAGGTCCAAGGATAAGGCCAGAAACTGTAAATTCTTATCACTGGCTAAATACCAGGCAGACGCAAACAGAGGAAGAGGGAGAGAAGAAAACTCAAAATACTTCAGTAAGGTTTTAAAAGAAGCTTGAAAAATGATCTTTTGTAAATAGCATGTGTGTGGGAGCCACAAAGGATAAATAAAAATGACCAACCTCACTGAAATGAAACAAGTCTGTTAAAAACAAGAGTTCTCACCTGTCCAAATGGCTAGGGAGACCTACTGCCACGGCTGAAAGACAGAAAAACACACCCAGATTAACAAGGAGGCAGTCATTTAATGCAGAGATCTGGTTAACATAAAGGGACAGGTTGAACAACAGATAGGACTTCAAACAATACTGCATAGTATTACAGGGTAACTCTTCCACGGTTGGTCTGTTTCTCTTATGATTTTGATTCCAGTACAAAGATGGAGAAGAGACTTCAATTAAAAATAAATAAGGCAACAGAAGAATCTTCCTGTGACAAAAAACATCAACGAATAATGCACAAATATTTGGAGCTGACACAAGACACCATTAGGACAAGTTCCGAAGGTGCGGCATTAAAATTTAACAAGCATGGTACAACAACAAGAAAATTATATTCGCTTTGTTGTGAATCCTTTTGCAAATAGAAATGACTCTCGGGTAATTGTTATATACAAACTTTCTGAAATAAGTAGCAATCGTACAAATTTTTCCATTGCAGTTTCCTCTCTTTCTAAACTGAGAAATGTTCCATGGCACTGTTCCCTACTCCTCACAGTCAAAGCATAAATAGTCATTAAAGCACTTGAATCCACAGTAGTCTTGTCCTTAGAAAAGTATGGAGGTTTTGCATGATTTGATATCAGTCATCCACAAGGGGCTGGCAGGCAACAGACTGGAATGTCAAAGACGGTGTTTGTGCTTGGGATCCTGACTCAAACTCCGCTCCGTCCCCTTCAAGAGTCGTCCGCACTGTGGACGGGGCCACCAAGGAGTGAACTTGAGTGTGGACAGTCATACCGTGGAGTCCCTGCCAGACTTTAGATGTACAATCTTGGTCCGGCTGATAAATGGGTAAGCAATGCAGAGACCTCCAGCTGCCACAATAAAGCCTAAACTGCACCAGGCACAAAAGATAGACCAGCTGTAGCCGTGTTCCACATCATCAGGCAGGCTATAAATTAGCTTCGGGAGCCGGTTCAAATCATAGGAGATGCTGGCAGCATAAGTGCAGAGGGAAATGGTGCAAAATATTCCTATAAATAATACAAAGAGAGCAGAGTGATCCGTTACAGTTTTGCGGGCTACAGGCAAATGCCAGACAGGCCTTTGTGAACATCAGATCAACAGATGAGATGATGAGTCCAAATTAATAAAAGAGCCACAATTCTTTCACTTCAATTACTTCATTCAACAAACACTGGCAAAACCTTTATGTGCCAGACTGTATGCTAGGTTCTGGAGACACAGGAGTGAAAAAGACAGATAGGGGAAAACTCTGGTAACTTGAATTATTCAGAATTATCTAAATTACACAGTATGTATATATGAATTTTTTTACTCTTAAAAACTTAGAAATTTTGATTATTTTTAAGGAAAAAAATCTTCTATAATCACTCAACCCTAATACAAACAATTTTAATTTCCTTTTTATTATTTTTATTTATTTTATTTTTGGCTGCACTGGATTTTCTTTGCTGTGTGCAAGCTTTCTCTCACTGCAGTGAGCAAGGGCTACTCCCTAGTTGTGGTGCTCGGGCTATAGGGTGCCAGATTGGTAGATGTGCTGCTCGGGTTTAGTGGCTCCAAGGAATGTGGGATCTTCCTGGACCAGGGATTGAACCTGTGTCCCCTGCATTGGCAGGCAGATTCTTAACCACTGGACCATCAGGAAAGTCCCAAGTCTCATTTCCCTTTGTTCTATACCTAAGTTGACGCATTTTTAGAGAGCTGCAATCATACCAAGTCTTTCTTTTTCAATTAACATTATCCTTGAAATTTATCTGGTTGTCTGTGAATAATATCTTAAATTAATTTTTACAAGTTTCTTTTAAGGCACAGAGCTTGGCACGTTCGAGGGCCTCAAAAATCTTTTTTTTTTTTTATGAATGGTTAAAAAAATTTTAAATAATGTAAATTAAATCCGAGAAGCTGGAGTTGATGTAAAATAACTGACATCATATATAGGAAATCTATAATTCAACCACTCAGAATGCAGGTAATTTGAGTGGCCTAAGGAAAATGAACAATTTAACTTCTTCATGGCAACATGTTATATACAATTGTCCTTTCAGAACACTAAAATCAGCATTCTGATAAAAATGCTGCAAAAGCCCCAAAGACAGGATTCTTAGTACTCAAGGATGTAGATGCTTCTATTTCACCACAGTGGACCCCCCAAGGACACTCCTTTTCGGTAGGCATGGGATTGCAACAAGGCAGTTGCTGAGCTGAAGGTGGGTTAATAAATACAAAAACCCTGTCAAGTATCAGAATGTTTCGTTCTGTTCTGAGTCCTACACATCTCTTTTTAGTATTTTGGTTTATCCCCGTGTACAAAGGAGGTTATATCCATTTGCTGGAAAACTGCTTTGGTAACCTTAGGGATCTGCAGCATCTCCATAGGATTTGGAGTCAGGTTTGGAACTGTAAAGAGAGGGTGAAAAGTAACAGATCCCCACATCCCTTTTTAATAGAGCTTTGGGGATCAGAAACACCAGAAGAAAACAAACTCAGAACAGGCACCAACTGGGAGGAAACAAAGATCGCCTTAATGCCTCCTTTTTCCCCCTAATGACATTTTTAACTGCTAGGATGTGCCTGCACTTAAATCGCATAAGGACACACTGCCTGAATCCTTTTCCAAATGTGCACTTAGAAATGTTTTAAATTAAAAGGACACTTGATCTGAGGTGATTTGGTATCTCCTACTCTTGGCATAATTTTATTTTTAGACTCTAAAGCATTTATGTTTTATAAAATCTTGTTTTCTGACTTCTTGCTCCAAATTATTTTGGTAAACACATTGCTTTTTGAGTTCACTAAAGAAAGATCATGATGGAAATAAGTCTTTCATAAAGGACTGGTCCAATTAAAAACAGAATACTATTCTGCTTTTTTCAAACCATATAAAGAGCAAATGTTCTTGCATCTACATGAATGTTTTCACTGGCAGCAAAACAAAGACAATGTTCTATATGTAACAAGGTCCGTCTAATGAGTGCTGGTAATAAGACAATAGGCAGAAGAATTTGATCTCTATAGTATAAACAGGTAAAATATTAAAAATAGAACAGTAACCTTCTCACAGGAGAACAAACTCTAATCTGCATTTATCTGTCTGCACACAGCTGAGTGCTTGAAAGTGAAGCTTTTTATGAGTAACATATTTTTAATGACCTCAGAAAGTATGAGTTCAAATTGACTCTTAAGCATCCTTTGATGTCCAAATGCACTGGGCTGGGATGAAGGTAATATGTATTCTGGTCCCCAGCTCTACTACTAATCACTGTGTGACCTTGAAATTACCTAACCTCTCTGAGTTTCATCTAGGAAAAAAAATGGGGGCTTGGTTCCTGAAGTCCCTCGCTGTGTCAATTTTCAGGGCTCTATTATTCCACAATATAGCATAGAGCCAGGCCATTTCCCAAATCCTAGTGAATCTCGTACTCAATATTATACAGCTAAATAAAAAATTGAATGAGTCATAAATTTTTCTTTCTGCACGTACTCCTTTTGATTTTATACTAAACTTCGATTTTATTAGCATCTCTCCCCTGCCATCACCCAAAACTGCTTTGAGTGAAATGAACTTTTTTCCCCTGGGTTTCTCCTCATTTTATTATATAAACAATGATCGTACAACAATTAGAAATAATACACATAATACAATATAGTGATGGGTTTTGTCATACATTGACATGAATCAGCCACGGGTGTACATGTGTCCCCCACCCCCCATCCTGAACCCCCTCCCACCTCCCTCCTCCCATCCCATCCCTCTGGGTTGTCCCAATGCACCAGCTTTAAGAGCCCAGCTTCATGCATCGAAATTTGGGCTGGTCATCTATTGAGTGAAATTAATTTTAGCATAACAACGCCAGCTCATACTGAATAGAAAAAGATTATAACCTGAGGATTTAAACTCTCTCTGCCCTGAGTGTCATGCCCAGGGGACTTTGTTTGTGCTTACCTCATGGACACCGTGAATGATATCACTAATACAAGGTTTTTTGTTGTTTTTTTTTTCACCAAGTTGCCAGAGAGCTGAAACTCCCCTAAAAGGTACATTTGTACCCACGTCCCACACCCAGGAGCAAAAACTGGCAAATTCATGGCATGCTTTTTGGCTACTGACCTCACCCTTGGATCCATCTTGCCTCGCAGACTTGATTGCTCCTTTGTCTTATTTGTATTCCTTATTTTTCTTTATCTTATCTTGAAATATACACATTTCTGTGCCACTTAAGTTCTTTCTGGAATAGGGCATCACCAAACCTTGATGAAACCTGCTTTATTTCCTTCTGCCTTTACTCTCTCAGCTGAGATGGGGCAGAGGAGACTCCATGAGCCCATAAATATGCCTGGTGTCTGCTCCTCCCCCTCCCCACAACTGTCCCCAGAGGCTGCTCTTCTGGGGACATTTTATTCTCCCTCCAAGATGCTCTTGAAGTGGTTCTGAGTGAGAGAAAAGTAAAGACGAGCCAAAGAGCATATCTAGGAATTTCCCCTTTCTGGACCCTCACAGCTCTAAAGAAGTTTGCACATACATAGCTGCCATAGCTCTTCTTCATGGGCTGGGCAATATTATACAGCTTAAGAAGAGCTCTTAAGAAGAGGAAAGAAAAACCCTTCTAACTTCAAAGATATTAAGGAAAAGTGTTTAAAGGATGAAAACATCTTGGGTGTAGCTAGATTAGTAGTCTCGGTCAGTTTTGACCCTGTTGAATTCTATTTTAGTTCCCTACACATGTCTTATAGTCTTCATGTGTGTTAGTTGCCTGGGCTGCCTTAAGAAAGCAGCAGCAGACTGGATGGCTAAAACAACAGAAATTTACTTTATCACAGTTCTGGAGGCTAGAAGTCTGAGATCAAGGTCCTAGAAGGGTGAGTTTCTTGCAAGGCCTCTCTCCTTGGCTTAAAGCTGGGGTTCTTCTCCCTGTGCCTTCACATATCCTTCCCCAGGTAACTATTTGTGTCCAAATTCCTTCTTTTTTATAAGGACACCAGTCACCTTGGGTTAGGGCCCATCCTAATGACCTCATTTAGATTTAATTACCTCTTTAAAGACCTTGCCTTTAAATACACTCACACTCTGAGGTTCTAGGGGTTAGAACTTCAACATACAAATGGGAGGGGAGCCACATAATCTAGCCGATAACATTGTGTGCATGTGTTCAATGTATGAAGTACATTTCTATCCCTTTTAGAGGCCTATGCAAAACTTTACTATTTTAAGAGTTATTTACTCAGTTTGATCCCTGGAGAAGGGATCCGCTGAAGAAGGGAAAGGCTACCCATTCTAGTATTCTGGCCTGGAGAATTGCATGGACTGTATGGTCCATGGTGCCTCAAAGAGTTGGACAGGATTGAGCGACTTTCACTTTCCTTCTCTTTCACTCAGTTGCTCAAGAGTTATTTATAAGTGGAATTCTCTGGAGGTCCAGTGGTTAGGACTCTGCACTCCCACTGCCAAGGACACAGGTGATCCCTGATCAGGGAACTAAATTCCCACAAGCTGTGTGGTGTAGCCCAAAAATAAAAAAGAATTATTTGTAAGCCCCTCCTAGGTTCCAGACCCAGTTCTGATTATCATCAGAGGTAGCTGAGTTGAATGAGTTCTTGATGGTCACAGCCATCATTTTCTTGACACTGACATGATCATGAACCCCAAATGTTCTTCCCATTCACTTCCAAGCACGCATCTCAGGGAAAAGGAGTAGATACCCCTCCCTACCCCAGACTTCCTGTAAGTTTCACATGGGGCCTAATAGCACTGAGGACATGGGAGTCAGCAAAACCTGCTGAACAGAACTGAGTTCTGCAAAGCAGTGAGTTCGACACACCTAAGAACCAATTCATCCCTAACTGCCCTCTGTAAGATTTACCTTGGAGAAGGAAATGGCAACCCACTCCAGTATTCTTGCCTGGAAAAGTCGCATGGACAGAGCAGCCTAGCGGGTCACAGTCCATGGGGTCACAAAGAGTTGGACACAACTGAAGTGACTTTTAGCATGCGAGATTTATCTAGATAGCA